AAAACACTTTAATTCATACTTTAAAAATAGAGTATTTTTATTTTTTTAATAAAAATTTATTAAAACAATATAATTTTAAAATAATTTTTCTTTTAATCTTTAATATATAAGGCAAATAGATACTATTTCTTATTATTGAACCAAGGAGAACTTTAAAGCATTACAAATTTTCCTTTTCATTAAAAAAAAAAAAAAGATCGCAATGGACAAAATTGCCTCTTTACAATCAAAGTAAATATCCAATACTCAATTACTCATCACATGCAAAGGCCAAAAAGGCAAATAATTCATCACATGCAAGTCCATTTCAGAATTGAAATCTGTAAATCAGGTGGTAGGTTATATATGGTTCCTACTCTGTTTCCATCACAAGCAACCTACTGATCATAGCTTGGACCCCCACCGCCCATCCACGTTTCCTCCCTATACCTTCACTGTCAGCTACCATTGCAACTCTTAACCCAAAAACGTACGGTTAATATATATAAATTTCAGTTTCCTCAAAGGTCCCCCACAGTCCCCCCCTACTCTCTCTTCCTCAGTTCCCTTGTTAAAACAAGAAACCAAATCCCTCAATCCAGGAAATTCCATTTCCATTAAGTACTAACATTTTGTTTGGTTAAGTCCTTGACCGTACAGAGTAGTGCACGCTGTACACCACAAAAATGAAGTATATTTGATAAGATTGTTTGGCCAAGTTTAGGTGGTTCAAGCCATTGTGAGACTTATACGTGGTTCAACCCAAGCCATTGGCTAAATCACACCTCTCTGTGTATCCTGGTTCAGTCATAACATAGATGATCAAAGAAACAACCCCCAGCCATTTAATTACCATTGTACATAGGGAAAAAAAATTGAAAAATAAAAGGTAAAAAGGAAAAAATGAAGAGGGGAAATCAGTTGATATCGTGTAAAAGCATTAAAGTTGAGCATAATTTTCATGGTGGGTCCAACTACCTTAGATGGTGACAAACCAGAGGTAAAGCGGGAGAGAGCTAAGAAGGGTGGTGGTGGTTAGGGCTTTCCATTTCAAGAAAGTATTGATGGTTGGGTAGGACCATATTTAATGCACACTTTCTATTTTTGCTGGGCCTTTCACTATCTGCTGAGCTATCATCTCCTAGCACTAAGCATGCTGTGTTTTGTTCCTTTGCACTTGTTTGCAGCGAAGAGGGGACAAAGAGTACACAGTCAAATGAGACTTTTCCTTGGTGTCAATTCTTTATCATTTTAATGACACCTAAATTTTTCAACATTTTTTTTTTTTTTTATAAAACAAGTTATTTGATTCAAACTCTTGTGAAGTAGAAGAATTGAAAGGGGAAACAAAGGTTTGAACCTTTCATTCAACTGAGAAATTGCTTTCGTACCAATAATTTAATTAGTAAATCTACAAGCGTTCTTCAATTTTTTCACATTTTCACTGGAGAGAAATATGACAAGATAATGTTAATTTGGATGTATATATGTATAGTCGGTTCAATGGCTTTGATTTTGCCTGCAATACAAAGTCCAAATCTGGGTTCTGGACCTTATTTATGCTGGGATTGAAATTAATTAATTAATAACGGCACAAGGATTATCAAATCATCAATTATAGGATTTGTTTTAACATGTTCCTTGAAATTTTGAAATAAACTTAAAATGATATTTTCAAATACCTAAACGATTCATTAATAAT